CACACAGATGTGCCCGGTGTTGACCTTCAAAACTGAAGCCAGCCATGTGGGATCCAGCTGCCTTAACCTCCACGTCACCTGCTGGACCACAATACGTTCCTAAGGAGAAAAAGAAAATACAGTATTCCTATGCAGGAAGACATTCAAGAGGAAGGGCCTCATCTTGAGAAAAGATACCTTGAGTAAAAGCCTGGACCATCCAGTTTTGCTAAATGATTATGGAACAGTATCTTTTCCCCTTTTATGAAATGTATGCACCACAATTTATTTTAACACAGCTTGAAAATGGCCAAATGCTAAAGGTAGATATGGAGATACAAAGGTGATTGGAAGGAAACCAAAAGGAGAGGTGAAGAAATTCACTGAACTGTTTCAACAAGAAGAGTGAAAGTCTCCACTGGGTCCAAATGGTAAATAGTGATGTCTATTTTCTTCTGGCCTATTGAGGGTTAAAATTGGTTTACTGTACTTATCAACATAACAGATACTTATTTAAGAGTACAAAACTCCAGAAATAAGGTTTAAAAAAAAATTCTATTTCTACTTAAATGAAGAATCTTGAAATGTTTCCTGGGCTGGAATCCCAAGTCCAACACTGAGTGCATGACCTTTGGCAAATTAGTCAGTCTCTCTAAGATCAGTTTTCTCATCTGTAAAGTAAGGATTAAAAAAGTACTTCCTTTTTTACAGAGTTTTATAGAGACTAAATTTTGCATGCAAAGTGCTTTGCATAGTGCTTGGCACATAGGAGAAGATATGTATCAGTTCTGGATCACGGTTTTATTATCCTTGGGCTGCTTAGAACAGCTCTTCTTAGCTCTTGGATTTGGGAACTAAACGTACATGAAATGATACCCAGATCTTATTTGTGACCAACAGAGCTTAGCTCGACCGCTGTCTGCTGCTTGTACCAGGGACCCATGTCTTGGGTAAAGTGATGCCAAGGAAAGGAAGACATTAACCTTTCAGAGGCTGCTGGGGATTGTGGGGGGAGGGGGTGTCTGTAGACATGCAGATGGTGCTGCACAGGCCAGGGCCCTGCAGCCTTTGAAACTCAACTTCCCTCTTCTCTTTCATCAGGAATTTTTCCCTCTTATCTTTGACTTGAGCAGGCACTGCTCTAAAAAACTGGAATTGTGGCATCAGCAAATGGTGTAAGGGCCAAATGCGGCTCAAGTCCTGGACCTGGAGGCTTGAAACTCAGGCCAAGCGCATGTGCATGTCCAAAATCCCAAGAGGAGAATGAAGAAGGAACTGTGGTGTGGCCATCCCTCTGGGAAGTGATTTCTCACTTTCTGTCTCTCTGCCTCTGCCTCTCTCCAGCAAGTGCACATGCCCATAACAACAACAACAAAAATAACCTCAAAAAAAACCCTTGAATTTAACAAAAAAGTGTAGAGTAAAAGGTAAAAATGTCCTGCAATCTCACTACCTGGAGGGAAGACTATTATTCCTCCAAACTGCTCTCTGCAGACATGCATATATACACACACAATTTTACAGAAAGTGCTAGTATGTAATACTTGCTGTTCCGTTCCTGCTTTTGTACTCAAGGATCACTTTGTGTTCCATTCACCAGAGACTTCCAGATCACTCTTAGCCGGGCTCTAGCTATAAACCACTGTGAATGTTCTGTGTGCTCACAAAGTGGTAGTAAAAAGTGCTAGTCAAAACAAAATATCCACTTCCACCTTTAAAAATGGCTCAGTTCAAAAGCTGAGGTGAACTAAGAGGTTCAGGTAGATTTTAAAAACAAGTGAAAATGAGAGGAGTCTATTTTTTTCTTGCCAAAATACAGTCGAGAGTGGAGACCTGGGTGTAGCTTGTGCTGCTGGGTGGCACACCCCATTCCCTAAATGGCTATTTCTTGTGGAATGTGAAACTTGTGGAATTGAACTTTTAATAAAACGAGAGCTTGCCTGTAACCTCAGTGTATTTTCAGGGTTTAAACTCTTATTTTATCTAGATCACAACTCTTGCAGCCTTGGCATCAAACCTTTATTTCCAAGTGCTGAACAAATATGAAAAATAAGAATCTGGGCTCAGTTTTTCTTCTCCTTGCCAGGCTGGGGTTCACTCCAGAGGCCAGACATGTGTGAATCCTTATCCTCTGGATGCCACCGTGTCTCCAGACCTTAGTAACCGAGACCCCCACCTCTGGGAACATTCAAGGGACCTGTGTCTGGAAGGCTGATCTCATCATTTCTGGGACGCATTTCCACCCTGCCAGAAGTCATAAGCATGGATAAAATGATGCTAACGTACCATTACTTTTACCCATTTTTATAGTCGTCTTCTAATGGCTACTGGTTAGAACATCAAGAGTGATTTTGCTACTTGACTAGATCATAAAAATAAGTTATGGTGAAAGATTCTGTGTTAGATAGACTTCTGCTGGGTTAGAGAGATTACATGCTCAATTTGCGAACTTGGAAAAGAGTTTCTAAAATGGGATTCACGCTGAAAATCTGAGATCATCTATTATAACCTGAAAATCTGTATGCTTCACATGGAGCTTGAGTTAGGGGGCGAGGTGGTGAAGACCAGACTGCAGTGTGGCAGGAAGGTGCACATCTAAGAAGCAATGGGAGTGAAGCCAGCAAACAGCACACCCAGGCACTGAGATACTGGCAAAGAGGCAGGCAGGATGGCTGACCCGGCAACAGCACGGCCAGTAGACAGACTAGACTTGGAACTAAAAGTTCATATAAAGTGGACCCGGCCTTCTGACCAGGTAAAATCTGCTTTTTCAAGCCTAGAATCCAACAGAATACTCCAAGAAGCCTTGAGAGAAATAGCCTATGAGTCCCACTACCTAATGTCAGAACCAATACTAATCCCATGAGTGGGAGTGCAAGGAGACACACAGCGTGGCTGTTCACTTAGCATCACTGAATGGTCAGTGGAATCCAGACTGGCATTTGAACGAGATCTCCTGGCTCCCATCCCAGGTTCTTTCCGCTCGGCCCCTCTTCTCAGACTTTAGCTTGTGTCGGCATTACCCGAGGCCTACTGGAATACAGGTTGATGGGCCTTGCCCCCCAGACTGATTCAGTAGTTCTGGATAGGACTTGAGATTCACATGGCTAACATGCTCCCAGGTACTGGTGTTGTGTGTGGACAGTCCAGATTTGAGAGCCAGGGCCCTGAAGGTCGTGAATCTAAAGAGATCATCTCCCTGGATATTTTCTGTGTTGTTTTCACTGTCAATAGTAGAGAGAGTGATGTGGCTTATTACCTAAAGGTTATTTGTTACTATAATGAAAGTCAGCACTTGAAATATTCTTGTAGTGAAAAGATATTTCCTTTGGTCAATAGTCTGCCTAGAAGGGAAAGTGAGGGGACAGGGTAGAAAACTGGTGCAGATGGCCTGAGAGGCTTCACCGCTGACTGCTCTTGTCACCTCAGTTGGGTTCAGGTGAAGCCCGCCCCATGTCTGTGACCTGCCCTGCCCTGACTCCTGCCAGGACATAAAGATACAGAGACGAGTTAGACGTGGTCCTTATCTTCAGGTGGTACATAGTCTCTATACTCTTTTGCTCCTCTAGAATGAAGACTATTTTTGTTGCTCATCTTATTTTGTTTTATATTTGTATTGCTAGTGCCTGTAGTATCAACAGGACTCCATTAAACATGCAGATTAAAGTGGTAGAGCCACTCAGTGTCTGTGATAAATACTACCATACCATTCACCAGTAACCTTAACGTTTGCTAGCCCCATCTAGTTAATACTAGCCAGCATCAGTTTCATATTTATTGTGTGTAAGTGCCAAGTGCTTGTCATACACCAGTTTGTTCGGTCCCTTTAGACAGTCTGTGTTGGGTGGTATTTCTAGTCCCACTCTGCCCATGAAACACTGAGGCTCAAAATATTAAGTAATCTGTACAATGTCATAAACTAGAAAGCGGCACGCTAACGCAAAATCCAGAAATATATTCTTCTAAAGCTCATGCTGGTAAACACAGTGGTGGTCTCAACGCACTCCAAAGTCCTAGGTTAGCAGTCGATTATCTTCTCACCATGGACTTAGAACTGCACTTTGTGGGCAGCACCTGAAGTGGTCCAAAGGCTAAGAAGTCACCAAGTGCCAGGCGAACTAGAGTCCTGGAAACTACAAGGACTGGAAAGAAAATTCTTGAAGTAAGGGTGATATCGAGCCAGCTTTCTACTTTGTCAAGCACAAGTTCCTTTCCCAAGTACTGATCAACTATCACCAACAATTCCTACAAGGAAAACAAAACTATGTCATAGAAGTATAAGGGACTTAAGTTCAGAATCCTTTATTCTGAAAGGAATCCTTTATTCTATAAAGGATTCTGAACTTACAATAAAAGAATATATTGCATTGCATGTATATTCTTATATGTAATGATCATTTTGTTCTATTTTTCTCATTTTTTTTTCAGTAGATGGGCATTTGGTTTTCATTAAGAATAAGAAAGTAGACAGTCAGTGGTCGAGAAACTACACTGACGGACTGCTCTTTTAAAGTCAGGCCAAACTGCTTGTGGAAAGAACAAAAGTGGCACGTGGGCCAGACCAGGACAAGCTTGAGGGTGCATTGGTTCAGAATTGGATAGAGTCTCCCAGTCTAGCCAGAGTGAGAAGACAGAATGGACATGAGTCTAGCCCAGAGGCCAAAGGCCTGCGAAGACTAGGGTATGGCCATCACATGTGGGTCCCCATCAATGCCCAGACGAATGAGCTGCAAACAGGAGAGGCTATCAAAGGTCTAAAGTCAGCATGAGGCCCCAAGGCCTGGGTGGCTACAGCCACTGTTCAATAATGGCTCTTCCTTTCTCATCATTTGGCTATCTTCACGTTCTTCCCTTCCTCCTCATTAGAAGTCAAAGAGGAAGGTGACGCCTGTCCCCTACTCTTTTCTTGAGACCGATTCAAGGATAGGAAAGATCTGGCTGGGATTGTTGGAGGCCTAAGAGTTACTCAAGCTGAGAGTACTGAGAACAGGGAAGGGGGATTTATTCCACAAAGACCTTACCTTACTAGGAGGGGGTCCATGGTCATCCAGGTAAGTGGAATTTCCTAGAAAAAAGAAAAAAGAAAAAAGTTGAAGAATCAATTTTTTTAAACCCCAGATAAATTTAGTGCAAAATCATTGAAAACATGCATGATAGCTATATTTCTATTTAGACATCAGTACCAAAGAAAAATGGGTGATTAATAACCAGTTTGGCCATGTATTGCTGATGAATCACACTTGGTTAATGGTTTCAACTGTTTACAAACATTCTACACACATGGGTGTGTGTGCATACAAACATAAATACACACCATTATTCCTCACCCAATATTTCTTGGGTTTATGTCAGACCATTGGTTCTCAAACTTGAGGGTGTATCAGAAGTACCTCTAAGGTTGTTTTCTTGTTTGTTTGTTTTGTTTTTGTTTTTGTTTTTTAAAAAGAGATTTTTGCTACAGGGCATGTGAACTCACGAGAGAGACAGAGAGAGAGAAAGCAAGAGAGAGAGAGAGAGAGAGACCACCTCCCAGAGGGGATGGCCACACCACAATCCCTTCTCCTCCATTTTCTTCTCAGGACTTAGAGCATGCATGCACACACACCTGATATGAGTTTTAAGCCACTGGGTCTGGGACTCAAATTGCAATTGACCATGGGGGAGTTCAGTGCCTTAACCACTATGACACTTGCTGGTCCCCCTGTGAGGCTGCCCAGCCCCACTACCAGAGTTCTGATTCAGTAGCTTTGAGAATTTGCACTTCTAGTCTTTTCCTAAGTGAAGCTGATACAAGGGGTCCTGGAACCACACTTTGAGAACTCCTACACTCTGTTGCTCTAGTGTGCCTTGAGATTCTCTT